CATTATCAACTCAGTTGATAAAACCAAATTGTTTCGTTATGCTCCCCCAGCGACGCAGCACCACAGTTTCTTTTGAAACTTTCCCCCATGATTAAATAAAAGACATAAACTTCATTAGCTAACACAATTACTGGTAACCCAGTAGTTTACATTGTGGGCTGTATTAAAAAGAGGGTTTAACTAATTGCTTAAAAATCCCCACTAGCTGGAGGCGACCAGTGGGCTATTTACAGAGCGCAGCCAAGGAGTTGAACTAGGGCAACCGAGAACAAATCCAGTGAGTGGCATGGTGGAGGACTTGAACACGGGCCACCGGAATTCAAGTCCAGCACCCTAACCACTCGGCCACGCCGCCTCCGATACGATACGATAGCGATATGACAAAGGTACGATAACGATACGATAGCGATACGATAGCGAGACGATAGCGAGACGATAGCGAGACGATAGCGACACGATAACGATACGATAACGATACGACAAAGGTACGATAACGATACGATAGCGATACGATAATGATACGTTAACAATACGATAACGATACGATAAGGATAAGACGACGATACGATCTGTTACCGATACGATAACGACAAGTTAAGGATAGCGATTTTATTCCAAAGACTACCACAAAATGCGCCCAGCCGAAGCTAAGGCACGATTCTACAAAGTTTCTCACTGGAGTAGTTCTGTAACAAAATTCTATTTAAATGGTCCCCATCTCTATACAGTTTCGCAATCTTAATCTTAAAGATTCAAGTACATAAGTAAAAAACCTACAGTAGAGTGATTCCAGAGTCTTTTAAACGTTTCCATAACTCTTCGCCAAGAATTTCTTTCGGATATTTGAAAATGATCGTCATAACAATGGCTATAATTGACAGAAAAACTGACCAAATCACAAAACCTAAAAAAGATAACGAAAACAAAACAACAGGTTTATGGTGAAATCCCATTGCAATGCGTAATGACGAGCTTACCTAGTACTCATGACTTAAAATACGCGAATTTATGAAAAACGTCTACTTCTCTATAATGACAACGTTGCTTCTCAACTATAGTTAGATCATAAACAATCGAAATTGCTTCAAATCCAAGTTTTGGCAACAACACAAAGGTTTCGTTTCATGAGTCTACGGTAAACATCGACTCAACGCGACAGCTCTGTTGGAGACTAAATGTCATTGGGAGAAAAAAGTTATACGGCCCGCTTAAAGGGCGCCACGAGCTTTCTTCTCGAAACTTCAAATTCCTATTATTGCGTGATTCTTTAGTACGTCTGTATCATGTTCGAACCAGTGCGAAGCAAATGCTCACCTACCCCTCCCACAACCTAAGATTACCCTATTTTGTAATCAGTTGACTGCTGTTGGGTTGGAGGGGGGAGGAGAGGTAGGTGTGCAAACGGTCAAATACTGACTTTGATCCTTCAAACGAACGAAGGAACAGATAGAAGGTTTGGATTTAAGTTACAGCGAGACATTGAATCGATTTCCTCATACCAATCAATGTGTACGCGATCTGATATCCAGAAAATCGAAGACTCTTCCCCTAGCAAGAGTAAAAAAACAAAAGGACAACAAAATTTAATAACAAACTAACGCACACGTCACTTGAGATAATTATACTCTAGCAATATTTAGGACGTTTTTGTCACATGACAGGCTTTGTAGGTGGCTTGGCTCGTCAACGAATTCTCTAGAGCTTAGAACTTGTCCAACGAGGGATTCAGACAATTTTCCGGGTCTATAGTTCATGAAAATCTTCCGTTTTCCATCATCGACTCTTTAAAACACAATTGTTTCGGTAGTAGCTAACTAACTGTTTCGGTAGTATTACATCATAACTACCCGATTTGACAAATTTTTCTGGAAAGTTCTATAGAAAGTTCGTATATGCAAGTCAGTATGACTCGGCATTCTAGAAATTTCTAGATACTCAGGTTATGCAGTCTCTATCTACAACATCATCTTAATCTTTATTATCATCATCACTAGTATCATTATTATTCATACAATCATTATCATTACTACTATTATCCTCATTATCATTTTAGTCGTCATCATCATCATTTCTTTACCATTATTACTATTTCATTCAAAATATGGCATCCAATCCTTTCGTATCCACGGTCGTTTCGTACCCAAATTCAGACAATTCGTACCCAGTTTGAGCAAAGGTAGCCCAAGCTCGCAAAACGAGCCACCGTTGTGCAATGGCTAAAATGTGAGAATTTGCGTGGAAATAAACAGTCGTTTTTACAAAATAAGAATCTGAACTAATGCTCAATAAAAATAAACTTGCCTCAAAACAAACTGACCGTAACTAAAACATACTTATCACGAAAACATTCTTTACCAATAAGGGTAAGAAACGAGTCAACAGACTGGATACGAATGTTCCATGCTGGGCGAGAACTAGCTGGTAACGTACGCAGAATACAGAGCGCACTTTAAAACATCCGTCACTCGGCCACAGTACGTACCACTGAATTCGCAGGTGTCAACAACAGGTCTTGAGAAAATGTGGCCTGCCCTCGGTACAACTGAAGCACGTGTTCTCTAAAATACAGGTTAAAACATAACACGTGAACACGTGAGTCCAGAAACAATTTACAACAACAACAGCTCCATTTTGTATGGGTGCATGATTGCAACTAAATGTGTCGAGAATACTCTATTTTAGTTAAACGCAAAGAAAAAAAAAGCAACAACAAAATAGTGAGGAAAGGAAAAACAGAGAAAAGAAAGACTAAAACAACAACGAGGCAATAAAATAAGAACTAGTAGAAATGTATGCATTTGTGAGGATACTAGTTTGAATTTGAATAAATGGCTTTATCCAGAAATTCCATCACCTTTCCCTGGCACTAAATTTGATGCGATCTAGAAATTTGCATTTCGTGAGGGAGGGAGTCGTAACTGGCGAAGTGTCTTGCACGACAAAAAAAACAAACAACAACAACAACAACAACAACAACAACTACAAAGTTGAGAAATTTACGACCGGCCCAGAGGGAGCCTCGGAATTTAAAAAAACAGGAAGAAAACTCACCGGTGGCATTTCATGAAATGAAGCAACATCAAAAGAGAAAAGATAGCAGGAACGACAACTCCTGCTTCTATCACGCCTGCAAAGAGAATAAAGAAAACGTAACTAAACTAAACAAGGTAAAACCGGTGGGAGAAATGAAAAACTTAGCAAGAATATTAGATGAAATGAAAATCAGTGAGTTTATGATTACACTTTGCGTTCTTGTAAGATTTTATATAAGCAGGGCATCCCTTGACAACAATTATGTCATGAAGGATTCACCCTGCTTTAGAGTAAATAAAGGTTTCAACACTTCTACTACGAAACTTACCAAAGAAGACATCGTAAACATTACCCAAGCTGCTGTTACCGTTATTTTTGTAGAATTGGATAAAGACCCTTCTTATCACGTTCAAAAAAGACAAAAGCGCCATGAAAACCTGAGTAGAAAGTACTAAAATAAGAGGAGATAGAGGAAAGCAATCGAAAACTTTAATAGGAAATGGTGATGAGTATGTTAAGAAAATTGACCACGGTGACAAGACGATGACAATGACAATGGAGATGTCATTCATTCCGTCAGCAAGTCACACAGTCAGTAAGTCAGTCAGTCAGTCTGTCATTCCGCCATCAGAATATTACCAAAAGTAAAATGCAAATACTGATTATAACATACACAAAGTAAAGCGCGTGCTCTGATTGGTCAATTTAGTATCCACCATGCCCATGGGTTTACTGACGTGAGCAAATGCAAAGACTAGTTTCTGCGCGCTTGTTTTTTCTGGTCACGTAAGATTTCAGTGTTAATAAAAGAGAATTCTTTTGCTACAATGGATCAATTTTATGTCATGAAACAAATGGTAAACACAACAGCGTACACTATTGAGTTATGGCCGGGATGCACGCGGAAGGTTCGCTAAGCACTCAAGAAGCTAGAGTCGCTCTCGGTAATCGTCTCGCGCGACTCTTACAAATCTTTCATGTTTAGCAACCTCCCGCGTGCATCCATAACTTAATAGTGTACGCTGTGGTGTTTACCATTTGTCCAAAAAAACAAAAAGTAAATTATCTGACTCACCTGAAAGATCATTAAAGCGCTCACCAGCGTTGTTGAAATGAATTGTGGCGAAAATTTGAAGTCTAAATCCAAGAAATAAAATGAAATTTATTCAAAATTCAAACGAATTTTAACAAGAAAAGACTGCTTCGATCAAATAATCTCTTCAGTTATTCAAATGACTCCTGTTCATGAATGTACAACTTGACGCGAATAAAACATCCCACACCTTTCCTTGGTTTGTAAAAACGACGAAGCTGCCTTGAAAACCAGTTTCTTTCGACCGTATCCTCCCTGTTGAAGCAAACCCAGACAAAAAGAAGTTATACCGCCGAATAGTGGTTTAACTTGATGGCTTGTCAAAAAGTTGCTCCAAACGCCAAAAGTTGCTCCAAAGTTGCCAAACTTAAATGACACATACCTACCTAACTCTCTTTTCAAAGTTTTCAGCTAAAGAGTTCAATCCGAGAACGATATTCGGTGATATGTAGTGAGTAAAGTGAACAGCTTAACAGACTAGTGCGGCAGTAAAGAATGTAAAATAAAATCACAGGCGTGTTTTTAACGCCTGGCAGATTTAAATTAAGCAAATACTGTTATTTGCCTGTGATTTCTATGCTTGATTGCCGATTCAGGCTTCATACTCAGTGTTCGGCAGCCAGCCTTGCCAGATTATCCCTTTCAACTCCTTACCAAATTGATCCTGGATTTAGAAGCTCCGTAATATGAGCGATCTCCGCCTCTCTAGCCAAACGGGTGACACAGATTTCATCGCCACTCTGGAAAGAAAAGCTTGTGATATTTTGTCACTTAGCAAAACTGTAACTAAAGTTGCACTTATCTGAGCATGGTCCCAGACAACTTATGAACTGAAGTAAACATAAGGGAGCAAACAGTTACTCTAGCCCAATCTTCGTCTTCAGAAAGTTTTTTTTGTAGCCAGCGTACGACACTGTAGACGATTGTCGTGAAAATCGCGAGTCACAGACGATATATCATGGGATATTGAGCAAACGCACGGCCGACCGAAATTGATCTCCATATGCATGCCGAATATTTAACTGCTGTGTTCCCCACAAGTGACTCACCCTTGTTGTAGATGAAGACCACTTCTTTCGCACTTCACGATAGAGTAGGACACCAAACCTTATCCAAATGAATGCAAGGCAAAAGTTGGTTGGAACTCTCCCTAGATTTGCCATAGAGAAAAACTCTTTCTGGTACTTTTCCTGTAAAAAACAGTAATTCAAGAATGAATATACATTATGGCAAGTACTCCGATCAAGTCCACCTCCCTCCAGGAGGTAGTTGTTTCTTTTAGTCCAACGCAATTTAACATGTATCTAATATACTTACCAAAATTAGCCCATGACAATACAAGGATTGTGTAAATTGTAATCTTAGAGTCTGTGTGGCGATGAAGTAGAATCTTTGTTGCAATAGAGAAAGGGTGGTAGTAGTTGTTAAAGTAGAATTTAAGGTCATAAATAAACGTACCTTTTAAATGTAATCAGAAGACTAGAAATTTTATATCTACATGCATCAAAGTTGTAATCAATAGATTTTAAAATAAATAAATAAATATTTGCCCGCTCTTGGTCAAGAGTCATTGTTAAAATTAAGGTTATAGATAGAAAAAAAAAAGAAAAAAAAGAAATTATTTACATTTGGATGCTACACAAAGCTCGGCAATCCTCACCGTGTTGGATATTAAATTTCTCTGGTAAAAACAATTGCAAATTCCTGAAATATGGACATTGACAAAAATTCCGAGTTTTAAGATCGGTATACTCCAAGAAATGTTTGAAGAGGAACTTGTTGAAGTGGAAGAAAAAGCAGAGAGAAAAACTTCAGTTTAAGAAAGCGAGCTCTTGGTTCACAAGTTTAATAAAAAGGACAAACTCAAAGAAATACTCGTACTCCTGCAGTGACACCATTTGGCTGCGCCTTGTGGATTCACTTTAGATTTGGACATATTGTCGGAATTATTTCTAATTGATCAATATGGCTATAGACCACGGATAATTTTTTTTGATTTGATGAACAACACATTGAGAAAAATTAAAACAAAAAAAGGCAGAAGTTTTGAAAATTTACAATTTTGATTGTTTCCTTATTCATACCTATAGCCTTACCTCGTACTGCTTTACACACTGAAACTCTATCGCCAGTTTGAAGCTGAATCTAAAAAGTTAATCATGCTGGTTTGCTTTCATTGCTAATTACTTTCATCGATTAATTAGATAACGTACTGTTCGTATTTTTAGTGAAGTCTAACACCTTAACATCGATATCCATTTATCCATGCATATACATTTTGCTATACATTTTCTTTGGTACTGTTTAGGAGAATTCATGTAACAATCAAAGCCTCCTTAAGGTTGGCAATCACATCCTATATTCTCGTGTTCTTGATGAATGAAACAGTCGGAGTATTACTGTATGGGAACTGAATTACCAGCTGGTCACTCTAAGGGTTTAAAGGGTTCATTAAGATGAAAGTACCAAATCAGCCAATAGGCCATTTTACAGTTGTGTACTTAGTTGCCAAGCCTTTGATTCAGAGTGAGGCTAAAGATGACCTTGTTGTGATAGCGACCTGTATCTAGTTAGCATGATAACAAAGTGATTTACATTTGAAAGGCAGCAAGGTTTGTATCATAACAAGGTCATCTCTAGCCTCACTCCCGTTCAAAGGCTTGG